ATAAGTAACGGTATTACAGTAAATATGAATTGTATTAATAAATAATTAAATATTTATTTATTGCGTACCGAGACATACCCGTATGACTCACAATGGGTATCATTTCAGATGTTGATACCACAACCGAGATGGCTCCAATTATCTCTCACATATCTCGTATGTGAGCATATCAGAGATCGAACCCATTAAAAGCATATTAAATACAATCCGCAAAGAAAACCTTTTGTAATTCGCATAAAATCTGTTCAATATTTAGTATGTCATGAACAGAAAAGTAAAATTAAATATCTAATATGAAGATTTTTGCTTATCATCTCTTCATTTCAATGTCTACGTTGTTATTATTTATATCTAAGCATTGGTTATCTAAGAATATTTAACAGTTTCTATATATTAAGTAAGTAAATAAATCGTTAACTTATTTTAATTATTGTTTGTTATTATTTGCTGTAATGTACGAATAACTCATGCAAAATCTTTATTTCCTTAGCTGTATGCATCCACCGTCTTGTCGAAATTGCCGCCATACATTTTCTATCTTAATTAATCTAATTTTAACAAAACGCGTAACTTTTATATAATTATTAATTATTCTGGAATAATATTCATTTGCATTTTAGATAAAAAGTGCAAACGAAAATCTATTAGTACCGTATTGTGATTATTTTCATATTTGTTTACTTAATACATCTGTACCAANAATATTTTTTAACTCGCTTAGATCATAGAGAAAACCAAAATTTTCAAAATGTTGATTTAAAGACATAAATCCCGAATCCATATTGCTTATTATAGAATCAATCGTGGTGTTAAAAAAATCTGTTTCATACATGCTTTTGGGAGACTGTATAGGTTGATCGCTGCCTTCATCATCGAATATCCTTTTCTTTTTAGCTACCCTTTCGTTTTTAAAGTCTTTTGGCAGTTCATAATTACTATTCTCAATAAATTGACGAGCGTCAGACAAGCCTTTTTCGAATTCAGTTTGTCGATATTCTTTGATCCAGTCACAAAATGTACGCAAATGTTCAAGAGCATTGCTTAAATGGACTTATAAAGATTGCCATAATTTGCTTATGATATTAACACGCGATAATATCTCATACCATACATGTAATGATATGATAATTTCTAAACTGAGCATTTCGTTTAAAACCGAATCACAATCACTGAGTGTTTCTGATTGTTCGGTTTGATTTTTTAAGCTTTCGATGCATTCAACGTCAAATTGCAATAATACGGCCTTCGTTGCCTCGATTCTGCTTTCTCACCTTGTGTCTGATAAAGGCTTCGTAGTAAGCTTTAATTTGCCTTTGATTAATTCCCAGCATTTGCTGGAACTTAAAAATAGCAAATAAACTTTCTCAATAAAACTAAAAAAATGTTTTTGCTGCCACAGAAGAATTAGCTGCGTCTACCAACAGCATATTCCAGCTATGACAACCGCAAATTGTAAAAAATGCGCTGAGATTAATATTTAATATTTGAGTTTTAACTCCACTATTTACCGGATACTTTACTGCGATACTTTGATTGGCTTTCTAGCCGTTGAGAACCGTGAAAGTAACTTAAACAAACACAATGAGAAATGGCAAAGATTCCCTGCGATAGCAGTCCAACGCCAACAAATGTTGCTAGACTAAATAAAAACAAATTTGGTATGTCAATATATTTATCGTTTTATGACGAGTAAAAGTTTTTCATTGCGTTTACGGCTTTTATTTAATGTGTAAACCTTCGAAGCGCGAGGCCCCTCGGACAGCGAGGCCGTAGGCGGTGGCCCACGTCGCCCACGCCTTACGCCGCCTCTGTTAAGACCAGACACTTTTAAGCAATTAACTGTTTGACAGTAGAAATTGTTTTCATTTGTATTGTGTGTTTTGTCTATATCAGGAATCGCCAAAGTGGTCTATATCGACCCCCAGGGGTCGATATAACATTATTGGGGGGTCGATGAAAAGATTAAAACTTACAAATTTTGAACCGAATATTGCTAATCTTGCTAAGGATTATCAAGCTTATCCGTCTCATTGATTATCAGTTACAAAAATTATTAATGTATTAATGTAATTATAAATGTACAATAAATGTAAAAGATGTAAAATTAAAAGATATGTATTAAAATAGTAAGAGCTTTTTTTTTTGCTTGTAACACAAACTTTTTGATGGGGGTCGNGTAGAATAAATAGAAAAAAAAAAATTAATTATAGCTATAACAAATTTGGTTTTAAATTTTTCAATGCTTGTGACTTGATAATGTGTCCAATCGGTAGAATTAGTATAGAATTTCAGTTTGGATAGGGTAAATTATTAATGTATAAATGCAATCTGTTCTATCAGAAATCTGTCACGTTGTTCGCTCTTCTCAAAGAATGTTGGCGTAGAAAAATTGATGCATTTCTGTACTTTTATATCCAAAAACCCAATGAAAACGATTTTCTAGTTCTTTTATCAGTTTGTTTCAAAATGACGACGGTTTGAAGGACCCATATAAAGCCACTGCCGCATACTAAATCAATGAAATGAATCGAGNAAAAGATATGTATTAAAATAGTAAGAGCTTTTTTTTTTGCTTGTAACACAAACTTTTTGATGGGGGTCGACGATCAAAAAAGTTTGGCGGCCCCTGGTCTATATGAATCAACTGCTTGTTTTCACCTACTTACAGACTAGAGTTTTTTAAATCTCGTTTACATCCTACTTATTTCTTCGTATTATAATTTATAGTTTACGACACCGATTATAGGTGATGCCAGTAGAAAAAGCCACCTTTTAACAACAGAATAAAACTTCCGCATAAGTAAAAAAAATAAACAATAAATTTGAATAATATATTCACAATACATGCAAACCCCACAGGCATTCAAAGATGGGCACTATTCGGAAATTTATTTTTAATTCTGTTTTATCGATATTCTTCTAATTTTTTCGCGTTAAATCTTGCGTATCGAAAGTATTAATATCGATAGCTAAAACATACGGAACAAGCCCGA